AGTCAGGCATGCGTGTGTGCCCATGCATGTCCAAAATTCCAAAGGAGGGAGAGTGAAAAAGAAGAGATTATGCTGTGACCACTGCTCCGGAGTGTTTTCTCTTCTCCTTTATCTCTATTTCTTTCTGGATGTGCCTTCTAGCAGAGAAGGAAAAAAAAAGTTGTAAAGGACTTGGACAGACATATTTCTGAAAAAGATATGCAAATAGACAACAAGCACTTGAAAATATGTTCAAATCATTAGTCATTAGGGAAATGCAAATCAAAACCACAATGAGACATCACTTTATACCTACTAAGATAGTTAAAAAAATACAAAAACAGAGACCACCAGTTGGTGTAATGGCTATGTCATGGACTCCCATGTAGTCTACCACGGTTCGAGTCCTGGACCCAGTGGCTTAAACTCAATGGCAGGTCCGTGTATGTGCGTGCCCAAGATCCCAAGAGGAGAATAGAGGAAGGAATTGCATCGTGGTCAGCTCCCCTGAGGGATGACTTCTCGCTTTCTGTCTCTCTCTGTCTTTCTGGCGAGTGCATGTGCCCTATAGCAAAAACCTCTCTAAAACAAAACAAAACAAAGCAAAAACAGAGCCCAGAAGGTGGCAAGGAGGTTAAAGTGGCTGGGTCATGGCCAAGTGAGTGGTTTGAGTGCAGGACCCAGTGGCTTGAAAAATCACGCTGGGCATGTGTGCCCGCATGCCCAAAATCCTGACTGGGGAATGGAGAAGTGATTGTAACGTAGCCATCACCCTTGAGGGGCGATTCCTCCCTTTCCCTCTATTTCTGTCTTGGTCCCTCTCCAGTGAACATACATGCCCTATAGCCAAAAACAAAAACCCAGAAAATAACAAGAGATGGTGAGGTTATAGAAAAATCAGAATCTTTTGGGAACCAGCAGTTAGCGTAATGGCTATGTCGCTGGACTCCCATGTAGTTGACCGCGGTTCATGTCCCGGACCCGGTGGCTTGAAACTCACGCTGGGCGCGTGTGCGTGCGTGCCCAGGATCCCAAGAGGAGAATGGAGGAGAAGGGATTGCGGCGTGACCATCCCCTCTGGGGGGTGATTTCTCACTTTCTGTTTCTATGTCTCTCTCTGTCTGTCTGGCGAGCGCACGCGCCCTATAGTGAAAAGCTCTCCCCTCCCCCCCCAAAAAAAGAAAAATCATAATCTTTTTCTTCAGAATTACTTATTGTATTTTAAATTATTAGTATACTTTTAAACATTTTTTGAGAGGTTTTTGCTTTTTTTTTTTTTTTTGAGAAGTTTTTGCTATAGGGTGCATGTGCTCGCCAGAAAGATAGAGAGAGACAGAGAGACAGAAAGCAAGAAATTACCCCCCAGGGAGGATGGCCATGCCACAATCCCTTCTCCTCCATTCTCCTCTAGGGATCTTGGGCACACACGCACATGCGCCTGGTGTGAGTTTTAAGCCACCAGGCCTGGGACTTGAACCATGGTTGACTATACGAGAGTCCAGCAACATAGCAATTATGCCAGTTGCTGACTCCAAGTATTATTTTTTTTAAAGAGAAACTTTTTTAAAAAAGAATTATCCATTCAATTTTATTTATTAATTCATTTATTTCAATTTGACCAGAGAGAGACAGAAAGAGAGAAGAGAGAAAGTGGGAAACCAAATCACCAGATCTGGGACTTGAACTGTGGTTAGCCATGTTGGAGTGTCCAGCACCTTAACCACCACGCCACCTGCTAATCCCCAGTAATTTTTTTTTTTTAAAAAAGAATTATTTATTTATTTTTCACATGGGTTTTTTGCAGAGAGAGAGAGAGAAAGCAAGCCTCCAGGTCCAGGCCTTGAACCACAGTCAGCCATGTAGGAATTCTAACACTTTAACCACCATGCCACCTGCTGGTCCCCAGTATTTTTTTAACATAGTATAGTCACTGGTGCTCGCAGGTGGTGTGGTAGTTAAGGATGCTGGACTCCCACATGGTCAACCATGGTTTGAATTCCAGACCTTGTGGGCTTGCTCTCTCTCTCTCGCTCGCTCGCTCTGTCCCACCCCAGGGGATGATAAAATAAATAAATAAAGTTAAATAAAATTATTCTTAAAAAAAAAAAAAAAGAAACAACATAGTATAGTCATCTGAGAGAGACAGAGAAAAAGAAAGAAGTGAGAAATCAAGCCACCAGGTCTGGGACTCAAACCGCAATCAGCCTCGAGAGAGTCCAGTGCCTTAACCACCACATCACCTGCTGGCCCCTGAGAAATCAGAATCTTCATGCATTACTTTTGGGAATGTAAAATTGTGCAGCCACTGTGGAAAGTAGTTTAACTAAGGCCAGCCATGGCATGGTGGTTAAAGTGGCTAGATGCCACATGACTGACTTTGCAGTTTAAGCCCCAGACCTAGTGGCTTGAAAAACATGCCGGCACATGTCCATGTGAGCCCAAAATCCTGAGAGGAGGAGCTGTCCTTTGGCCATTCCTCTCCCAAGAGAGGTGTTTTCCCCACTTTTTCTGTCACTCCACCGAGTGCACGTGCCCTAAAGCAAATTTGAAAGAAAGAAAGAAAAGGAAGAAAAAAGAGAGAGAGAAGAGAGGGACCAGCAGATGGTGTAATGCTTACGTTGCTATAATTGACCACAGTTCAAGTCCCAGACCTGGTGGCCTAAAACTCACTCTGGGCAAGTGCGTGCATTCCCAAGATCTCAGGAGGAGAACAGACCAGATGAGAAGGGATTGTGGCATGGCTACCCTCCCCCCAGGGATGGGGGGGGATATCTCACTTTCTGTCTCTCTATCTCTCTCAGTCTCTTTGGTGAGTGCACATACCCTATAGCAAAAATCTCTCTCTAAAAAAGAAAAGAAAAAGAAGTCCTCAAGAAGTTAAATACAGGGCCAGTAGGTGGCATGGTGGTTAGGGTGCCGGACTCTCTGTAGAGAGAAAGCAAGAGAGAGAGGGAAAGTGAGAAAGCAAGCCGCCAGGTCCAGGACTTGAACCGCGGTTGACCATGTGGGAGTCCGGCACTCTAACCACCATGCCACCTGCAGACCCAAATAAAATAATTTAGAAAAAAGAGAATTGTTTATTTTATCTTATTATTATTTTTTCCAATTTGGTATAGGTAGGACACACGTGACAGAGAGAGAGAGAGAGAGAGAGAGAGAGAGTAAGCAAGCAAGCCACCAGGTCTGGGACTCAAGCTATGCTATTGGCCATGTGGGATCCAGCTGCCCTAACCATCAAGTTACCAGCTGGTCCATTTCACATTTTTCTCTGACTCTATTCTGAAACTATGAGAAAAACTTCTTGGTAAGTTTGGACTCCCTTCTTGGGAGAGCTCCTAAAGACATAATTGTCAAAAATGGGAAAAACAAACAAAAACCCCATACACCTTTTGGGATAGTTAAGGCAGTATGCCCCCGATCTAAGAGGGTCGGGGACCAGGGAACTGATGGGGAGAGGAAAGCCAAACTTCATCAAAACTCTTCTCTATTGTGAAATTCCTGTATTCAGTAAACTTCTCTTTTTTTCATTTTGCAACTATTGTCCCTACTGGAAAACCGCAGAGTCCACTCCCTTTACCCTCCCTATTTTGATTCCTTTATCTCTTAGATCCTCCTACCCTCTCCTCTGGACACCAAAACCCTATCATCATTTCATGTTGAACCAAAGAAAATCTGCTTTTAGGGCCCAGACAGTGGCTGGTGGTTAAGATAGCTAGATCCCAAATGACAGACTGCGCATTTCCAGTGACTTGTAGAACACTTTAGACGGGAGACCAGCAGATGGCATAATGGTTACATCTCTGGACCTCCAATGTAGTTGACAGTGGTTGGAGACCCGGACCCGGCGCTTAAACCTCTTACTAGGTGCATTTGTAGATGTGCCCAAGATCTTGAGGAGAGACTGAACGAGAGTGAATTGCAGAGGGGTTATGGGGTTGATTTTTCTTTTCCTTTTTTTTTCAGGTTTGTGCTGGCCAGAAAGAGAGAGAGAGAGAGACAGAGAGAGAGAGAGAGAGAGAGAGAAAGTGAGAAATGAGAAATCACACCTCCCCACACCCACCCCCGGGGGGGGGAAATG